AATAACAGCTTGGTAAATCTGTTGGCAATCAAATATTCAATATCGCTACTCATCATAAGTACTTGGTACATTATCAGCGCAGCAGAAGACGTTCAAACTAATATCACGTAATTTACGTCTCTTTGATGATTGGTTGATATCAGAAGGGAGACTAGCCTTTCTCAACACTCCTCAGCGCTGAAAGTGAACACTCTATGGTGATTGGCTATTTTTTTTTACCAACGGAGGCACGAGAGCTCAGCGCTCACCCGGTTGATGTGTTCATGGCAGGTGGAGACGTTGACGCTGAACTACTATCAGCATTGTTCGTACTCTGTTGGGAGAAGGGAGTCATTCCGCAAGACTTCTGTGATGCAGTGATAGTCTCACTGTGCAAGAAAAAAGGGGAGAAAGCCGAACAGTTCTATATACAGAGGCATCGCTCTCCTTTCAATTGCAGCTAAGATCCTTGCTTAAGGCTTGTACCTTCCACTGCTGAAGAAGTTCTCCGGTCTGACCATCAGCCTGAAAAGTCATGTACCAGAAGCAAAAAAAAAAGTAATATACCAGAAACCTCTGCATGGTTCCTATAGCCCACCTAAGGTCATTATCAATGGCCATCCTTTGAACACAACGGACCAGGTCTACTTGGGCAGTATCATTTCAAACGGTGCAACAATACAAGAACATGGACCACCAACTTGCCAAAGCCTGCAGCTCTTATGGCCGCCTCCAGAAAGGTGTCTAGAAGAGCTTCTCACTGCACCTGTTAGTGTTCATGGCCGAAGTCTACAATCCAAGTCTACAAGGCTGTTGTCCTTAGTACCCTGCTGAATGGATTTGAGTCATGGGTCCTGTGTCAAAAGCACATTCAGCTGCTCGAGCGCTTCCACCAGTGGTGCCTCCAATACATCATGGGAATCCAGTGGCAGGATGAAAAACTGGCAGCAGACAGATCCAGATAGAGGACCATCGCAAAGAAAGATGCAAACTGCCTAGGAGAAGCATAAACAATGAAAAGGGTTGGCTGCCCAAGTATCCAACAGCAGCAACCCGATCTTTCCCTGCTTCATCTGCTCTAAAACATGCAAGTTTGAGATCAGCATTTGCAGCCACGTGAGAGCTTGCCACCCAAGACAAAACTCTTCTGATAGATCTTCAGATACAAAGAATTCGCCAAAAATAAACCGCATAGACCTTGAATCGACACTTACCAGACATTACATTTCTGAACTGCCGGAATATGTACACTTTATGTACATGAAATGTTGCCAGATGCCATCTGTTTTGGATAAAACAGGTATGTTTTTCAAATGAGCCTGGGTTGGAAATTTAGCATGGTCATGCTAATATTCAGTACAACAACATGAGTGTGAGTATAATATTGCTTAATATTAACCACAACATCCTTACAGCTCAAAATGGTTTTATTAAAAAAGCTAAAGAAATCATTAAAAGGGTCTGATATTTCACATTCCTCTCACTGATTCACTTATATTGCTTTCTGTCTGTTTTTTTGTGTGATGTTTCAGTTTAGCTGTCTCCATCAGTGCGATCACAGATGGTAGGTTTAACAGTTACCTCATTTTCACAGACGATTTCTCATTACATTTCCCTTGATCCTCTCCACATCTATCGTTTCCTTTTTCTATTAGTGCCGAGGTGTTTCACATCAGGAACAATCAAAACAAACAAGATGACAAACAAAAACAGAATAACATGCATTCCGCACAGTAGGACAATGTATCTTGATTGCAATGCAAATATAATTATATTCTCTTCAAAATCTTTGTCACCACTGAGATAATGTAGTGCATATGAACTATTACAACGGTTACTGCTGTTATTGTCCACAGGCAAGGAGTAAGTGGAACTGGGCAGGTGTTTTTCCAATTTATTTTCTATGGGAGTTGAGTGGCAGGTTTATGCAGACTGTCCAAATGAATTAAACTGAAGTGCAAACAATAGCTGCATTTCCATTATCCTTCAAATTGCACAAATTGAAATTGCGAATTGAAAATGCAAATTGAAATACGCCTAATGGAAACGCGTCAATTTCGCAAAAACGCCCATATTTCGCAAAAAAGTTTTTATGCTCGCATGAGGTGGTTTTCCAGGCAATTCGAAAAGGAATATTTTGCAAAACTGCAATGGAAAAGTTTTTTTCGCATTATCAGGTCACATGGCGTACATAAAAAGTCATATGATCATCCCTCAATGTACTATAAACTCCAAGAAACACTTAATATGTGGCTGCTCTCATGTATAAGGGGCTTTCCTTGCCATTAATGCTTAGACTATTTACACTGCACACATCTGCGGTGCGTTAAGGTTCCGAAACGGCCACCGGAGCTGATCGCGGCCACTCTAGTCAATGCTTGTATTACCAGTCACGCAACGGCACGTCCCAGAAGCTGCTCTCCGCGCTGCTTCTGTCAAGATACACGCATATGCCTCTTTCGATGAAATATAATGGCTAGTGTAGCCAAAATCTGTCAAAATCCCATCAAAATCCGTTGCCATAATCAGAATCAGAAGAGCTTTATTACCAAGTATGTTTACACACACAAGGAATTTGACTTGATGACAGGAGCTTCCAGTGTAGAAGAAAGTACAAACGTAGTGCAGACATACATGATAGTGCAGACATACATAGGAATAACACAGTAGGGATGTAATATAACAAAAAAAAATTAAAACATTGAATAATGTACTATATGCAGAAATAGAAGTATAGGATCAAATTTAATTGTTTAGATAAATGTACAGATATGTTTATTAGTGTGCAGATATGTTATTTACAAAGTGTGCAGTTTAATATAAATATAACTATGTTAGTTGTGATGGACTATGTATAATTATGAAAGATTAATTGTTAAGGCTGAATATAGCCTGTGGGAAAAAACTGTTCTTGTGCTTGGCTGTTCTGGTGGTCAGTGCTCTGTAGCACCGACCAGAAGGCAACAGTTCGAAGAGAGAGTGGGCTGGGTGTGAGGGGTCCAAGGTGATTTTTTTTAGCCCTTTTCCTCACTCTGGAGATGTAAAGATCTTGGAGGCTGGACAGAGGGGCACCAATAATCCTCTCAGCAGTCCCGACTGTCCGTTGTAGTCTCTTGATGTCTGATTTGGTAGCTGAACCAGATGTTGGAGGCTGGGCAGAGGGGCACCAATAATCCTCTCAGCAGTCCTGACTGTCCTTGCAGGGGTGGTAGGTGAAGGTGTGAAGTGCAGATCAGAGCGGATGGGGGGTGGTAGACAATCCTTTTCAAATCTGCAGTAAAACACATTCAGATCGTCAGCCAGTTGTTGATTCTCCGCAAGCTGTGGGGGTGGTGTCTTGTACATGGTGACGTTCCTCAGACCAGTCCATACTGACGCTGGATCGTTTGCTAAAAGCTCTTTTCTCAGCTTTTCTGAGTAGTTTTTTTTAGCCACTCTGATCTCCTTTGTTAGTCTATTCCTGGCCTGGTTATACAATATTTTATCCCCACTTCTGTAAGCATCCTCTTTGGCGTAACTTATCGCGAGAGGAAAAAAATTAAGTTTTAGTTGCATAACATCAGTTAATGGAAACGCCATCATTTCACAATACTTTTTTATCAACATTTATAAAATATCGCCAAATTTTTGCGCAAATCTGTAATGGAAATGCGCCTAATGTCATGCCTTTCTGAAAACTCCTTTGAGATAGATCAATAGTGGTTAATTTGCATATCTTTATTATTATCTTATAAATGTTTCTAAACAGCTGGTTAAAAGGGTCTGGGGACGCCCCTGGTCATGGTTCCAACAGGTATCTTACTCCATTTTGCATGTAAAATTTGGTTGCTGATTTGAAATATGTTAAATGTGAATTTGGCAAGTTTTTTTTTTCTTTGAGATTTCTGTATTTCCTCTTCAAATAAAAAGTAGATGGCCTTGCATGCCCAAAAAGTTATCTGGAGGAACTGCAAATATGGCCACCAAGTGAACTGTCGTTTCTTGAAAAGAACCTTGGTTGAACTCTGCAAAACATAACCAATGGTCCCTGTCAATATGTTGCTTAAAATCGCCAATTCTCATATAAAATGAATGACTTTTGGTTGCTGCAAACTGCTGTCTGTTTGAACACTCTTAGGAATAATCACTGCAATCACTTCTCTTCAGCTCCAGTTACTACTGCCTGCTGTCTCAGTAATTAACATTTGAGAGGTGACAGCATGACATTGTCACTATTACAGCTGCAGGACCAGGAAATGTGTGTGTTTTTGTCAAAGGTGTAATCACCACGATGCCTCTAGGGCATTCGGCTTATGGCTTTGTTTCACAATGACTTCGTTGGGGCCAGAAACCATTAGTCTGGATAAAGGATCTCCTTTCTGATGAACATCTCATAGAAAAGTGTCAATGTTCAGATGATGTACTAAGGGGGGCAAAAGGTCTGAGAGATTATGACTGGCATGTGATTGGTTAGTAAATTAGGTTATATAAGGTCTGGTTAGGGGGTGGGTGACTTCCCATGGTTAGTAATTGCCTCCACCTACGGCCAAATTAGATTTCTTTGGATGAAACATGCTGTTCAAGTACATACGCTATTCAGTAGACGTTTTTGCCCTGCTGTGCCATTGAATTGCTGGTAATGTTGCCATTGTACTTGACTATTATAGGTTGACTGAAATGAGTTTCGGCCATGAACACCTGTGGCCTCTTCAGGTTTTTATTGCTGGTGTGCCATGCATGTACTGTTTGGCATTAAGAAAACATTTGTTCCCCTTTTATTTCCATTCATCTCCACCAGGTTACCTCCTGCACTGTGACGGATAAAAATGTGCAACTTGGAACGGCCACTGTTGTTCACATTCAGCTTTCCAGAGGCAAGTGAGATGTAAAGACCTCTTCAGTCTGTAGTTAGGGACCTCTCATGGTGTTCTCTTGAGTACTTGAGCACTTTCCATAGTTTAATGAAATCAGTGAACCATGACTGTAATTGTGTTTCTTTTAGTTATTTGCATGTGTTAGTGTGTGCAAGACTATTTTCTCACCTCCTCCGCAGTCCTTTTCCTCCTCTTCAATGTTGCTTTTGATAGTATCATACTCCTCATCAATGTTCTGGTTGCCACGGATTTGACTGAGTATGCGCCGGGCCTTCTGGGTAAGACCTTTCTGGATCAGCCAGCGAGGACTCTCGGGTAGGAAAAGGAACCCTAGGAACTGCAGCAATGCTGGGACCACTGACAGACTCAGCATATATCTAAACAGATGAAACAGATGAAGAATTCCAATAAATTGAAGGGGGAAAAAATCACTATACATATGTATGTATCCTCTGCTGGTGAAAGAGTGCATGGTGCCTACACTTTGTTGCTAGTTAATTTTTGAGACTCCAACTTATTTGAACAAAACATGATGCTAATGGTATAATGGTATAGACTGTAAAATGGTATGAATTAAATAATGATATTTTTTAATGATTCCAATTTTGACTTCCTCACCCCAAAATAAATAGAATTTGATTACGTTAAAGATAATTAATGGATCAGTATTCCCTTTTTCAGCTGACAAGACTACAATGCAAATGCTCTATTTCCACTGGAAAATTTTGTCTGCTTGTTTTCCTCACTCTCATTTTGTACAGATTATAAGACAGGGTTGCATAAATCAAACTAAATTTAGTAAGAATTACAAGAAAAAGATTCCAATGTAAATACAGTTTGTTCTACTTTGTATATTTTACTTTGTTATTTATTTATTTAATTTTTTTTACAGTTTGTGGAGAAAACTGTGACAACTTTTATTCCTTTTACACAAAGTACGATTTACAGAGCCAGATTTCTAAATTTTGAATAATTACTTGTAGAATACTATGTTATGGCTTGAAAATTGATACTTTTTAACGTAAGCATCACATATTAAGCTTCATATGTCATATGTCAACATGGAAGGTCATGCATTGAACACACATTTTAGCGCCACTCACTGGACATTTCACTTTGAAACTGCCGGAAAACATGCAGTAAAGTACATAATATTGGTGTTGCAGAAACGTCGCCACAAGCATGTGTTTTCAATGAGCCTTGGTTGGATTTACCAGAAGTAGCTGCCAGTTAAGCCAACCCAGCTAATGCAAAGTCACAATAACTCATACAAGATAGCGAAATCATAAAAACTTGTAGTTGGCTCATACTAAACCTAGCCATACAGTCTAAACCTTAAACCTAATGATTGTAAAAAAAAAATGTAAATAAGTCTTATTTAAATCATTAATTGCTATGGATTGAGTTGTGGTCATGAGAATGTGTTGGTTAAGCAGTAATCACTTCATTTACATTTTACAGTGAATTTGTGGTTGTTGGTGCTCAGGAGTAGTAAATGGCAACATTTCCATCAAGTAGATATTATCTTTATAACATTTTCGTTCCCAGAGCAACAAGCTGCACATAATGAAGGAGGTATTTTGCAGCTGGTTTAATGTTTGTTTTATATTGTTCTGAAGGTTGATTTTGACAGATTCAGAGATTGATGTGATTTAAAGGATCTGCCCTACTAGAGGATGATTCTTTCCAGTAGGGTTGACGTTCACATCATGTGGAGGCAGACAATTCCACACAGTGAATTTATTCTCTTATCACATTCGGTTCAGATTGCAAACTTGCATCTCATTTACTGCTTTTGCCATGACACCGTAAGATCATAAACATTATGATCATTTTATGACATTTTACTAATTCTCAGAAATAATAAAGTCACTGTATTGTTCCACATTTGACACCACCGCAAAGAAACAAGAACACTTCTAGATTCAATGCAAATTCTGCAACTGGACCACCACTTCTGCAACAAAGACTTGATGGTCATACCTCCAGCCTTCATGCTGCATGTAGCTGAAGGCTCCATTAATAAGGCTGGCTGTGAGTTGGCCCGCTGTGATGAACAGAGTGTTGATGGAGACCAGGCGTCCTCTCAGGTGGGACGGCGAGGTTTCAGCAATGTACACAGGAACAGTCATGGATGCAATACCTGAACGGGTAGATATATACACCAGTCAAATATTGGCCATTTTCCATTTGGTTTGGCATCATTCCGTAATGCTGCTCACATTCCACAGATGTGAAGCAAAGACATTACAGTACAGTTTGGACATAAGCATCAACAGTTTTGAAACATTAATTGGACTTTTACTGCCTGCATTAACTGTATTACACATAAAATTATTTAAGTATTACAGTGTAGCGAATCAGCTCACGGGGAAATATGAATAATTAATCATAACTAGTTATGATTAATTATAAATATTTAGCTCCGCTGTAAGTATTTACTTGACCTCTCAGGGTCAACTGTCTGTCAATTCTAAGAATGTTAATTTCCTGGTTAAGGGAAATAACTTTCTTACTGTACAATTCTACACAGAGCCTGTAGCATAAATCTGCATGATTAAGGGACTCCGGTTATGAGCAAACAATGAACAACGTCAAGTGAGATACAAGTAAGACTTTATTAACTACATAAACACTTAAACTAGTCCAACATACTACATAAACACTTAAACTTGTCTATAATAGTGTTTTTTTTGTTGTTGTAATTTTGGATGTTGACAGCTCAAACTCTATTCACTTTCATTATATTCAGCATATTCTTGAACAATTCTAATTTTGTGTTCCACACAATACTACTGATCTACAGCCTGAAGGAAACATCAGATTCTTAGTTCAAACGCACCTTTGTAAAAAGGTGTGTTATGATACTTAATGTATCAATTAATAAAACTAAGTTTGAATACTTGCACGTCTCGTCTGTCTGAAAGAGAGGTTTGATGCAATCTGAAGGCCCAAGTTAATCTTTGCTGAAGTTGGTTGATGGAAAAGAACCAGTTTGAGTCATATTATCTTCGTGAATGTCCAGGTGTCCTGGAGCGTTGTAGCTCACATTTTCATCTTCTCAGAATTCAACCAAACCGCAGACTGAAGGCGGGTCCCTGGTGTGAGGCCTTTAAGGTCTGAGAAAATTCATGCCTCTCAAGATGGGCTTGTCCAATGAGAAAGGCTGAAATCCCAAGCGGGAGTTTGGAAATACTGGAGAGTTTTATGACCCTTTGTGTGGAAGCATGGTAATTTGCATATGGAACTTGAATCGAAATTATTAAAGATTCTCAGGACACTAATATATTGCCTATGTACCAACATATAATATACACTCTCGTTTAGATCATCAGAAGACGAATTCCTAGATACTAAACATGGTAGGATTACATATAGGTAAGATGACAGGAACGAGTGGTTCCATCATAAGCCTGCATAAAACAGTATAAAATATAAAAGACAACATACACAATGACCTGAGGGATATGTGTGTTCATTCACAGAAAGGTTTTTCTATGAATTAATTAGAGAATAGTCCATTTTTGGGCATTGTGTGTCTTTCCTAAGTGTAAATGAGGTGTGAGTTTCTCTGCTTGCATTCCTTTGAGCAATAAAACCAGTGATATCAGCCTTGGTTGCCATGGGGACCAGGGGGGGCCTGGTGTCGTTTGCAGACATCCTGGTACCTAGTTTCTTGGGTGAGGGGTTTGTGACGATTTGTTAATCTAATGAATAACTGATATGTTAAATCAAATGAATAATTGTGTGTTTGATTGGTCCAGACGCTACAACAGTATACAGTAAGGATTGGCTGATGGAAGTAACAAACACAAAGCACAAAGCCAAATCCATCACCTACAGACTTTTGTCCTTTATTTCAAAGGCTTGTTTATGAAAACTATACTGTGGTTAGAAAGTGTAATGCCAAAAGGCACTCAAGTATAAGTCACCCAAATATGAAAAATTCCACCTTTTACTCAACCTCTCGTTCCAAACTCACGTGACAATCTTTCTTCAGTGGAACACAAAATGGGAAATACATAAGAATGTATCTGCTCTTCTCCATAACGTAAATGAATGGGGACTAGGGCTCCAAAATGACACAAAAGCACCATAAACATTTCATAAAAGAATCATGAATTATTCAATATGATTTTATACTATATATAT